TAAAAGTTCGCGGTCGCTACAAGGCCTACCCCCAACTGACCTGCAATTTAAGAATCCATATGACAAAGGAATTTTGAGGAATCTGAAGGAGTTCCTGACAGCAAAAGGATAATGCTCACGTATGCTTAGTGTGTGCCTATGTTGTTTACAACATTAAACTGCTACCTTATCCTGGTCATGCGTTCACACGTGGATTTCTTGACGAGGAGTGAAGAGTTCAAGGTTGATGACATTAGTCTTCCGCTCATTGAAGAAAAGGGACGCGGCCATTTCTTCAATTTGAAGAATAGAGAATTCTCTTCTTACCAGCATTGATGATATGATTAGTCACTGGAGAGAGTGCACAATTCTATTATCTAAAAAATGTGAAAAGGAAAATTGTTGTACTTCTTAATTTTCCATTTTAACTATGAATTGTTGCGATATCAGAAAATAAAATGATATCATTGCATTCTATTGAATGATTTGGTATATATTTCCTTTAAACTTTTTTTCAGCCATTCTTTTGCTGCCCTTAAAACTTATTGAATATTCATTTGACTAAAGTGTGGTGGGGTCTTATTACTTACCTATGATTCTTGATTAAGGGGCAATTGTGTGAATGGGTAGAATTCAACATCGAATAACTATAAAATAAATAAAAAACATTGAAAATTTAGAGATATTCTTTTTAACAAGATTGACGAGGTCAGGTCCCATTGTAACCAGGAAGTAGTGATGGTAAAAAAAACCCGCCCCGCCTCGAATGGGGTGAAAAAACTTTCCCCGACGGGACGGGGCCCCGTGAAAAATTAAAAAAAAAATTTGTTTTGGATATTGTTTGTTTCGATACTTATTTTGGATATTGATATAGTTAGTTTGAATATTATTTGCTTCGACCCCGTCCCGTCTAAGGCAAGGCAGGGCAGGGTGGGCCCCGCCCCCGTTGCCATCTCTATCAGGAAGTTGCCACATATGTAAAGTTGACATGGCATCAGTGGACAGATCATGGGCATGTGTCGGCAAGGATCAATTTGTTTGAAATTGAAATAACAAACAGAAAGATAAGTTTGTCCCGTTTTGAAAAGGCTTATAGCCAGCTCCCTAAGGATTTTTTCTCATCCCCAACCATTCGAAATCAAGACCTTTAAAATACAATATCTAACCACGGGGCAGCATTAAGGCTAATCAGTGTCTCTGGGTCCCATGGTAGTTAAACCTTATCTCACTGTCTGAATATGTATAACCAGAATATGATAGGACAATACAAAAACATTAAACCAAAAGAGGGACAATGATCACAGCGGTTGAACAATTCCAATCTTCTCCCAAATTATTGTTTTTTTACAAGGAACAACATTGAATACAATAATACATACATTGGGCGGCATCACTTGCTTCAATCTCATGTTTACATTACAGGTTTCACTATGTACCACCACACAGTGAAGAATATTTTATATATCTTAAAAACCGAAAAAAAAAAGAAAGAATTCTTCCTATTGAAAAATCCTAATCTTCTCCACGTCGAAGTAATAAAATCAATCCCCACATACAATATACTTTCATTTGCTTATTTCCCAAATATACAAATCCTTGACGCCAAAAGGAGCTATGTATCAAGGCTCTGGCTTATCAAGAAGTTCATTTTCAGCAGCAATTCTGCCCGAGCCACGGCCCATTTTCCCAAGCGAACCGACTGCAGATAAACCCTTGAAACTGCTACTGCCCTCGCTGAAGTTACGGGACCTTGTAGACCTTCTTGGCTTTGAGGAGTTGACATCAGGGTCGATTTCATTTTCGGGTTTAACCTTGGCAACAACTAACTGAATAATGTTACTTCTGCAAAACGGGCAAACTGGTATGGAAGGACATGCCGTTGTTGGGTTGGGCTTGTTATGGCAGCACAAGGCCAGTGTGCATAGCGCGCACATCTGGTGGCCACATTCTTGAACCTCAATCGAACATACTTTATCGAAACATATGCAACAAATATCTGTATCGCTTGCCTGCACCAGATTGTCTCCAAATGATACTAGTTTTCCTTACAAGGGGTTTTCAATGAAGCTAAAGATATATGTGATGTTCACCATGTTTGTTCATTAAAGCATTGTTTAAGCAAGAATCCCGAGAAAGAATAGTACCAACAAATAATAGACAGTGCAAATCAAGGTTTAATTTCTGTATGAAATAAGAAAATAAAGTTGATAATGAGAGGACAATCACCTCAGATACATTGTCATCAAGTCCAGAATCGGAATGCAATGGAGATGGCAGTGAATAAACTGTTCCCTTCAGGACGGCCTTTTCCCTCTCTCTGTTAGCCTCCATTAAAGCACATTCCAACAGAGCTTTTGCCTCCTGATTAAGCTCGCTTATGAACTTCAAAGGCGACGGCCAGACAAGAGGCTCTGCCGACGAAGGATTCAGCAAAGCCGCACATGCTCCATGGTGATGACGTAGAGCCACTACATAAGGTATTCTCCTAAATCAAGTTCACGAGGACTACACCATTAGATATACCACTACTGAAAGTCATTTCTCAAAAGAAAAAACGCAATCAAAATTATGAAATTTTTTGTAATCATAATCGTAATTGAGAGAGACAGAACAATTGTTTTGCACTCTAGCTTCTGCTCTGACATATGATAAAAGCAAAATTCAATACTTTGACAGAAACACAAAAAATTATTATTCTAAAACTCATACCTTGGTTATAAGCATGTGAAAAACGTTCAATTATAAAGTTAGAAAGATACCCTGATGCATCTCTTTGAAGTCGATCAGCGCCCCATGCCAACAATTCACGGATGCAATCAAGAGAACCACCTCTTGCAGCCAAATGAAGGGCAGTGCTGCCTGGAAAGCTGTAAACTATAAATTGTTAATGTAAAATCTGCTGGACTTAAGGGAAAATCTTTGAAAGACATGATAATAAGATTACCCATATCCAACGGTTGAAGCACAGACAAGAGCGCCATCATCTAATAATATATGAACACATTCAAGCCGTCTTTGACGGGTTGCCAAGTGCAGAGGGGTTGCTCCTTTACCATCTCTAATATTCACAAAACGAGCATATCCCCTGCAAATCTAATCAAAGTACATGAAAATCCAGAGAGCAAATGGGATAATAATTCAAGAGGGAAAAATGCCAAACACGATAAATTGGATTATGAGCCTAGTATGTTAAGTTTTAGGTATACTTAGGTTCAAGACTATACAAAGGATTTTTTAGGAGTTGAGAAGCACGATTCGCCATAATAATCTTCTTTTCTTCTTCACATTTAAACCTGAAGTGGTGGGTGGACGTGACTCTCAAGTTGAGCGTGAACCGTTATAAATCTGTGTGTATGCTCGTGTGTCTCTAATTTCGTTTTACTCAATATTGCACTCTTAATTGAGATTAAGGCATAATTCTTAACAGCATAAAGTTAATCCATCCCTGAGAAACCTACCATGAAACAGCCACCTGGGAGGTGCGAGCAGTCGAAAGAATAGCTTTAAGGCAATCGGAATGACCATAATAAGCAGCATAGTGTAAGCAAGTCCTTCCATATAGTGAATCGAACATTAAAATCTGCCCCAATATTCAAGACTAGCCCAGTCAATAATGAACACCAACACACATGTAAATACAGATTACTTGAAAAATGGCTTATTAGAGAATATAAGGGATTGGGAAAAACAAACATTCGCCCCAGCTTCAATGAGTTTTTTCACACATGAGATCTTTCCATGCATTGCAGCCAACATCAATGGAGTCTAAATCAAACATACATATAAATGATAATATCAGATAATAAGTCCCAAAAATCAAGAAATTAAATCAAATATTTACAGTCATTTTGAAGAGATCGAGATGAACACACCTGCTTGTGGCGATTCAATAAATCGGGATTGACAGATCGGTCCAAGAGCATAGAAAGAATCTGAAATCCCCAAATCCAACAAATCAAAACCAGAAATGAGAAAAAACATCAAAATTACATCAACCAAGAAATATATGAAGAAGCCCACCTCGATATCGCCAACAATAATTCAATTGGAAGTAAGAAAAATACCAAGAAGCCCACCTCGGTCTGGCCATTAGCAGCAGCAATATGCAAAGCAGAGTGCCGATCATACACTGTGAAACGATGAATAAGAGTTGGATCCTTTTCCAAAACAGTCTCAACAGTCTGAAAATCCCCCAACTGCACTGCACTGAACAGTCCCTGCTCCTCACTTGTTCTGCAACTCAGCCCCTGACCCATTATCCCTTCTAAGAATTATAAATAATGTAATTGGGCTTTTGTATCGATAGATAGGTGGTGGAGCATCTCCACCGGGAGTCATGCACCGCCGCGGACAGTGGGGGTCGTGGTGACGGAATGGGAGAGCGCTTCACACTTCACATATTTGTTCTTATATTTATGTTGGGTTTAGGAAGCTTGGAGCTGCCCGGGAGAGGGGATAATAGCGGGTAACTGACCGTGCCAGAAGGAAGGTGGGACAACGGGCAGAAGTAAGATATTTATTCGGGCAGTTAGATACTTAGATTCCCAAAATAATATAAATTAATATAGGTCCTGTTTGTTTCTGATTCTCAAATCAATTCTCAAATCAATTCTCATTTTCAACCACACATTCTTCAATAAAATAATATTTTCCATCACATCAATACTTTTTTCTTCTTTTTCAACCACACATTTCCCATCATATCACTATTCAAAATCAATTCTTCCCCCAAAAATCCCTACCAAACAGGCTCATAATAGAGTACAGATTCACACTCTTGTAGTTGATTGTTCAAATTAATATGCGATGAAAATTGATGCAAAGGTCTCTTACTATACATTTTATAAAAATAGAACCTCTAACATTCGGCAACACCTGGTCAAGCCCCCCTCTTTCATAGCGATAATCGGGAAAGGGGATACATGTTAGATCAAACAAAGGGAGAAATTTCTTGATAATGGAATCCGTGGACAACCAAATGAATTTCTGGCATTCACATCCTCAAATTTTCATATTTTGTGTAAGATTGTATCATCATGAATGATAGTCATTAGAAACATTGTTGGAACAAGTCAATAACACGTGTGTACTTTCTTGAACAAATAAACAAAAGACCATTCCGAATTCTTTATAAAAAGAAAACATCAATCGATTAGTTTTTTACGTTGAACTTGCCGCTTCTTGAGTTCTTTAATCATATCTAAAATTTCATTCAGGATTTTTGAATTGTTTCAAGATTTCAGTAAAATTTTCCAATTCGTGGTAATTAGGAACTCAACATCTATGATTGAAGAAAATAATAGATTTATATCACGATATTTTTTAAGTTCGTTAAGAATCGATAGTCATTGTATGAACATACGAGTCACAGTCAATCAAGAAAAGGAAAGTCTGCTTTTAATAACATGATTTAACTGTAATTTGATTTGGGACACAATTTACCTATAAAGACTAAATTTTTTACAAGTAAAAAATAGTCGAGAGTAAGAATGAGAATGCAAAATGAATGAGGACCTCTTCTTACAATTTTTTCTTAACGTGTGTGGGGGTAGTTTGATGGGCGCTGATTGGCGTAATGGTGTTTGCTCTTCGTCCAAATTCGAAGTCTTCACACTCTTCTTAGGATGTTGAACATAGGTTTTGATTAATTAGTATAGACAACTTGGGATTGTTGGGGTGGTATATATATATATATAGTGAAAACACTTTCTCCTTAAAATAATATTACCCCGCAACGGTGCTAACAGACTACGATACTTGTGTCCCAAGATACAACGGATATAACTTGTGGTATAAGCATTTTAAATCACAAGCAACAACGAACTTATAAGGAAATTTTCTCTCCATACGAAAAATGGTTTTGGAATGACTTTGGGAGAGTATTTTGTAAGAGTTTTTGATGTCATGCCCAATGCAAATCATATGGGATTCATAATGAACGTCCAAAGGGTCCTATATATAGAAGATGAAGAGTTGTGAGTGAAGTATCGCGTCCCAAACTCATCAACCTTTGCCAAATGTCGCAGCATTTGTTGTCGCTGCCCTCTTGCTCGAGCTACCATGACATCTTTTCATCATAACTTCTCTCGCTCGCATGTTGCTAGACTGTCGCTCGAGCTATAGTCTTATCGCTCGAGCGATATGTGAGTGATGGAGTTAGCCATTTTCCAACATGTGTATCCTCTTTTTTATCCAACTTTGGACCACAATTTCTCATTCATCTGAAATTGATTTTGAGATTTCAAATATACCACGACGCTCTACTCGACGAGTAGAACAAATTAGTCTATTTATATTCATAATTTGACTATCGAATTAAGTTCGAATATTTGATTTTGAGATTTCAAATATACCACGACGATCTACTCGACGAGTAGAACAAATTAGTCTATTTATATTCATAATTTGACTATCGAATTAAGTTCGAATATTTGATTAAAATTGATACGAAAGTTACTTTTCATAATTTATTTTTTATTCTCTAAACCAAATTCCAACGGAAATGGCCCTATATCCCAAGTTAAGTAGAAAGAATGAGACAAAAGGTTGAAATTTCACGCTCTAATTCACCAATTTTGCATCATGTCCTCGATATAATAAAAAAATAATAAATTATTTGACCATGCAAATTCGACAACAACCCAATAATTTAATTGTAATAATATTAATTTTAGGTGATTAATTGTTGGAAAACTGAATTAGCACAACAATGTTATAGGATTATTGACATCAATTGCAAGTGTCAATTTGACAACAATCCAATAATTTAAAATTTAACAATATGAATTCTACGTGATTAACTTGGAAAATTGAACTCAGATTGGGTGTCCCAGTACATTTATTTTAATATTTCCTTATATTTCAAAGTTGCCCTTTCAACATGGTTTTGAATTAATTCAGTGTAATTGTGAGAAAATTTCTATCAGATTTCCGACTACTGAGGCCGGCCGTGGTGCCCACCTCCACAATTCCAACCACCTTCCTGCACGGCCTGGCTTCCTTCTGTTAACAATGTCAATTAAAAGTTTAAGCTGTTACATTTTATCCATTTGATCTTATTTTTCTTATATGCTCTAATATGGAGGTTGAGTTGTTGAATTTATGCCTGTATTTGAGATAATTCTACAATTCGGCATCCTAAAAAATCAGTTTTAGATCTTTCTTCTGAATGCCTTTGCTGATCAAAGTGAATCTATTGAAAGGAAAAGTAATTGAGAATTGAAGATTGCATACTCATCAAGGAAGAAAAAGAATTGATTTCTCATTACAATGGTAGCTCTTTAAATAGAACAAAATCTAACTAATTACAACAACTAACTAACCAACTTGACAACTGTACCCAACTACTTCCTAACTAACTTTGGCTCCAAATGAGCTGGACACTTGCTGAACCGTTGACACCTTGCTCAATCCTCTGTTGTTGTTGCTCGCTTGCTTATATACTCTAGTACCCCCCCCCCCCCCCCCNCTTTGATACCCCCCCCCCCCCCCCCCCCCCCCTTAAAGATAGACCATGGAGATTTATAATGGTCATCCTGGAAAGTAAAGAAAAGAACAAAGAAGCTGGTAAAGGCTTGCTAAAGATATCTGCTATCTGGAGTGGAGACCGATTGGGCAACAATTTGATGAAACCATCAACCTCCTTATCACAAACAAAATGACAATCTATTTCAATGTATTTTGTTCGTTCATGAAAAATGGGATTGCTAGCAATATGAAGTGCAGCCTAATTGTCACAAAAAACCAAGGCTGGAGACATTGGAGAAGCATCCAAATCTAGGAGCAGCTAATGTATCCAAATTAGTTCGCTAGTACCAGCTGCTAATGTACGATATTTTGCTTCTGCAGAGGACCCGGTCTGTTGCTTTTTAGCCTTCCAAGAAACCAGCTAGTCTCCAAGAAATACATATAAGCCAGTGATGGATTTTTTAGAGTCAGGACAAGAGCCCCAATCAGCATCAGCAAAGTCCCTTAATTGCAGAGAAAAGGAGGCTGAAAAGAACAACCTTGACCAGGAACTCACTTAAGAAACCGAAGAAGATGATCAGCTGCATCAAGATGCGGTTGGCTAGGTTTAGAAACAAACTGGCTAAGTTTGTGAACTTCAAATGTGATGTCTGGACGAGAAATGGTTAAGTAGAGCAAACGGCCGATAAGTCTTCGATAAGACAAAGCACCAACGTCAATTAACAAATCACTATCAAATGAATTCAATCGAACCTTTGGATCCATAGGCAAACCAGCAGGTTTGCAAGCTATAAAAACCACTATCCTCCAAGAGTTGTAGCATATAATTTCTTTGGGACAAACATATCCCTTTATGTGACTTGCTATCTCCAAGCCAAGAAAATACTTCAATTTACCCAAGTCTTTTAGTTTGAATTGACTATTCAAAAATGATTTCAAAGAGGCAATAACACTTTGATCGGAATTGATAATTATAATATCGCCAACATACACCAGTAGAGCAATAAATGAAGGACCTGATCCCTTTGTCAATAGAGAATAGTCAGATTTAGATTGATGGAAGCCATGATCAATAAGAGCTTGAGAGAACTTGGAACCATAGATCGATTTATGGAGTTCACAAACTGGTTTTCCCTCCTTAATAATATCAGCAGGTATATTGGAGTACCCCAAAGGTAAGTTTATATAAATCTCTTCAAAAAGGTCCCCATTCAAAAAGGCATTGTTCACATCTAACTAGACCAAGTGCCATCTATTAATGGCTGCTATAGCAAGCATTGTCTTTACTGTAACCAACTTAACAACATGAGAAAAGGTATCAATAAAGTCTGGGCCCTCTTATTGAGTGTAACCCTTAGCAACCAGGCGTGCCCCATCCACACTTCCATCGGGTCCATACTTTACCTTTTAGACCCATCTACGACCAATTGAGTGCTTACCCTTTGGCAAATTTGCTACAGTCCAAGTATTATTTGATTCCATAGCTGCCAATTCAGCAGTCATTGCTTCCTTCCAGTGATTAGATGCAATAGCTTGATGATAAAATTGTGGTTCAACAATGAAAGAGACATTAAGGAGAAATGTTCTGTGCAACCGAGAAAAGGAATTATAGGAAAGATATTTGTTTAAGGGATATAGTGAATTGTTGTCATGAGGTTGTTGATTTGCTAGTAGATTACAATGAAATTCATGAAGATGGGATGGGGGTTTAATCACCCTAGTAGACTTTTTAGGCATAGGGAATGAAGATGAATCATCAACAGGTTGTTGATTGTGCTGAGTAGAATCAGAAGAATACCTAGAAAGAATTTCAGGTGAAATGTTATTATCAGCAGAAGTAGATGGAGATGAGACTAGTTGATGTTCAGTCAAAGCATTATTGTTGGATGAAGTAGACGAGTATGAAGTCAGATGGGGAATAAACATATCAAAATTGATGCTTGGTAATACAACATCAGGAAAGGGGTCTATTGAATATGATGGAAAAGCTATAGAGTGGAAAGGGAAGGGAGTTTCATGAAAAACCACATCCCTGAAAATAAGAAAAGACTTAGATGAGATATCATGAAGTTTGTATCCTTTGACTCCTGGTGGATAACCAATAAAAACATAGGCTTTAGCTTTAGCTCTAGGAGAAAATTTGTGAGATGGAAGTGTGGATACAAAGCAACACTGGTGGAATGCTGTTTGATCAGAACATATATGACTTGTTGTGCCTGAATCTACCACCCAGTGCTTAAATGAATTAAAATCTGGATTAATAGAGATTCAGAAATAGGTACCTAAATCCTTACCTGAACCAGGTTTATCTGAGTGATGTAAAAAATATGGATTGGATCCATCATCAGCTACTGAATTATCCATTGCCAAATTGATGTTGACTCACGAAAGAATTAATTAGCTGAAGGACAGCTCAAAGAAGAATGAATCAGCTGATCCTAATCAGAATTGATTATATGTGAATCGAAAAAAAATTACTGGTGATGAGCAGCGAGTATGACTCTGATACCATATTGAAAGGAAAAGTAATTGAGAAATGAAGATTGCATTCTCATTAAGGAAGAAAAAGAATTGATTTCTCATTGCGATGGTAGCTCTTTAAATAGAACAAAATCTAACTAATTACAACAACTAACTAACCAACTAATTTGACAACTATACGCAACTACTTCCTAACTAACTTTGGCTCCAAATGAGCTGGACACTTGCTGAACCGTTGACACCATGCTCAATCCTATATTGCTGCTACTCGCTTTCTTATATATTCTAACAGAATCATATGTAGAACATCTCATTTTATCTAAAAGGCATTTCAAATCGATTGATCGCCCAATATTCTGACATAGTGTTCATCTATGGAATTCAGTTCAGGTCAAGGTTGGAACTATTTTTTCCTTGCATATATTTGTTTCTGTTACACCCACCCGTCGTCGAACACTTGTGTCTCACATCGTGAAGCATCTCCCATTCTATTGGTATATATTTCTCGCCTTCTTCCACAATTTAAAATTGTTAATCTGCGTCTTTGGGTGGTATTATTGAACTCTAGAAGTGATCGATGACATGAAATGTTTCAAAATATTTTTGTACAGCCTCGGTCTTTATCTTGAGTAATTAGCACAAAGTTTTGTTTAGTTAGTTTGCTATCAGGGATATGACTGAAATTTGAAATGATATCATGCAAAATTAAATCCACTGTTTTATGATTCCATTTCCCTGCCTCTAAAAATAGCATGAATGTGTCTGGAATTTAGACACGGAATAAAATCTGAACGTAAGAAGAATGTGTATTACAAAGTTACAAACTTAATATGCTTTCCTTTGGTTTAACGAATATAATTGCTTCTTATTATTTTACACAAGTGGCCTATTCTTGTAAAAACTATTATGCTGCCACACATCCCCAGGAACCAAACTCTGCCTTTAAATATTATGTTGCAAATGCTTACTGTTGTGCAAATTCTTAATACCCATTAAAATAAATTAGATCTTACAAGTTCTGTTTATTACTTTCCCTTATATTGGTTTTTTATACAAATATCATGCTATATACTTTTAGAGACCGGTGGTTTTTCCATTCGTTGATTGAAGATGGTAGAAGCTGAGGATATTCAGCCTCTTGTCTGTGACAATGGGACAGGAATGGTTAAGGTTCCAAACCTAAATTTTAAAATTGAATTATGTAGCACAAATGTCCTTTTCATAAGATATTTCTAAGTTCCATTCTTCTGGTGTTGCATTGACTTAGATTATGATGTGATCCTTTTGATAGGCTGGATTTGCTGGAGACGATGCTCCAAGGGCAATGTTTCCTAGCATTATTGGTCGCCCACGTCACACAGGCGTGATGGTCTGCATGGTCCAGAAAGATGCTAATGTAGGGGATGAAGCTCAGTCAAAGCGTGGTTTCCTAACTTTGAAGTATCCATTTGAGCATGGCATTGTGAACAATTGGGATGACATGGAGAAAATTTGGCACTATACCTTCTATAATGAACTTCGTGTAGCCCCAGAGGAGCATCCAATTCTACTCACTGAAGCTCCTCTCAACCCTAAGGCTAATAGCGAGAAGATGACACAGATTATGTTCGAGACATCTAACAGTCATGTCATGTATGTTGCCATTCAAGCTGTGGTAAGTACTTTAATGTCTTCATTATTGCATCAAATTAATAAGAAAAAAATTGTGCATTGAAACAAACATAACTTCTAATATTGAAAGTATATAATTATTTGAGTTTTCAAGTTTGAGCTCTGGTTATCAAATGAATTCCAGTCTTACGGTTTGTTAAGTTTCCAGGAAATTAATATGAGTTGCCACTAGTTAAGAGTCTACAGAGAATGATTTCTGAATGAACTAACAGAGTTGATGCACTCTATGAATATTCATACATATTTTTATTTGTTCCGTATATGAAAGGCTTCCTTCCCCAAGAGTGGATTTCTATATCTTTTAATAGTATACTTTATACTGTCAATTGATTTAGCAATTATCCACTAGATACAGATTAAAACAAATGCTTCATGTTGTTTGCTGTAGGTATTGTCTTGGACTGAGGGGATGGTGTCAGTCATACTGTTCCAATCTATGAGGAGTATGCTCTACCCCATGCTATCCTTCGTATAGACTTAGCTGGTCATGACCTCACCGATTACCTGATGAAAATCTTAATTGAGCGTGGCTACTCCTTTACCACTTCAGCAGAGCGTGAAATTGTGGGGGACACGAAGGAAAAACTTGCATACATTTCTCTCGATTATGAGCAAGAGTTGAGAATGCCAAGATGAGCTCTTCTATTGAGAAGAGCTACGAGTTGCCTGATGGGCAGGTGATCACTATTGGGACTGAGCGTTTCCGATGTCCAGAAGTTCTTTTCCAGCCTTCGATGATTGGAATGGAGGTTGCAGGATTTCATGAAACCACATACAACTCTATAATGAAGTGCGATGTGGATATTAGGAAGGATCTTTATGGGAACGTAGTCCTGAGTTGTGGTTCTACCATGTTCACAGGTATTGCTGACAGAATGAATAAGGAAATTTCTGCTTTTGCCCCAAGGAGCATGAAAATTAAAGTGATAGCTCCACCTGAAAGGAAATATAGTGTGTGGATTGGCGGTTCTGTTTTGGCATCCCTAAACACCTTCCAACAGGTGAGTTCCATGCAGTTTTAATTTAGAATGGACCGATCTGTACCATGTTCCGATGGAAAGGCCCTCGTCATACATGTATTTTACTAAGCTTAAAAGTTACTGTAGAAATTAGAGGGATGAATTGTAAAAATGATGAACTATGAATATTATCACATATGTTCTGATTTACAATGGGAAATAGTGATAGCTTATATAGAGGAAATAAGCAACGGTTGCCTATGCTCTAATCTAATGTTGACCTACTGTACAATACTAGGAGTTGGTGAAAAGTAGAGTGGCTACTTCTCTGAATACAGCTGCTC